CATTTGCGAAATGACAAATGCTAAATGATTTATGATTATGACAAAGGAATAGACAAATCATTTAAATAGTCAAATGACCAGGTCATTTCCGAACACTGTTATACAGTGTGTAATGATAATTTATTATTAATAACTCTAGAGGTTTTTGCTTTAAGAGATTCGTGTCCCTAGAGTAGAGCTGTTTGGAGATGGCGTACTCTAGAGGTTTTGCATAACCTTGCTTTGAGAGATTATATTACTAGAGGTCTTATAACTCTAGAGGTTTTTGTATAACTTTGCTTTAAGAGATTTATGTTTGCATAACAATGCTTTAAATTCCTAGAAATTTTTGTGTATTAAAATTTCTATCTGATTAAATATTAATGAAAAAAATAAAAGATTATTCATGCTAAAATTTTAATACATAATTATATTTTATTAGGTCGAAAAAAATATCGTATCTAAATACTTTGAATATTTACAGAAGCAGAAACTGATTTTAAATGCATCATTATTTGTCTGGTTTGCTGACAATCAAAATACGCGAATTTGGATGGAGTAATATGGACTTTGTAAATGAATATAATCAAAAAAAGTATTAGACCAAATATATCAAGTAAGAGAATTAAAGTACTTTTTGATAATATTATTTATAAAATTTAATAAAATTTGATTCAACATACGCATACGAATAAGGTTATTTCCACTGTTGCAAATAATATATATAATCTTGAATGAGGAGTAAATGATCCCTTTTTGTCAGGCATTATAGATCAAGAATATACAAAATTATATCTAATTTAGTTGATCAAAATGATTTGAAACAATTTTCGAAAGATGTAGAAGGCTTGCTAGAAACACCTTCTTGTACTATTGATGATAATAACTTGACTAAATGGATTAAAAAGGAAAAGAAAGGAAATATTGAGCCAACTCGTGGTTTAACAGCAGCCATTAAATCATTAATTAAAGATTTGCCATAATATAAATTATCAACGAAGATCGCCACTTGTAAATGAATCAACATTTACACATGACCTCCTCTTTCCTATATTAAAGTTTATTTCTCCGTGTTTATTAAAACGATGGACCCAAGCTCAAAGTTTATCGGTAATTGTAATTCATCTTTAAATCCACACTAATAATATTATTGCTCAAGCTTAGGTTTTCTGCGGCATATTCGTAAAAAAGAATTTTATATAATAAACCTCTTATATTCTAAAAGATTATCGCAAAAATAAATAAATAGAAAAATTATACATTACTTTATAATGAAGACCTTATTAAATTATTCGATTTAAAACTTTGTACATTATTACTGAATACCAAATTATTCTTTATAATTTCAATATCTTCTTTTGTAAATCCACATTGTAATAAATAATTATTTACTGTTTTATAATGATTTTGAAATTTTCGTAAAAACAATATCATAGATTCATATCTAAAAGATTTTTTTTTAAAAAAAGTGCTCATTAAAAAATTGAATATCGAATATGATATAAAAATATTAAAATAATTACTTCGCATTTAACATTTCTTTAATTCCATTTTCATCATATTTATTATCCATTGTTTTAATAACGAAATCAATTTTCTGTGGATCTGTAAATAAAATTGTCATTAAGTCCTTATTGTTTTGGCAAAAAAAAACTAGTTATTTACCTTTTACAATCTGAGTCATCTCATATTCCCTTGAAATTATATTATCATTTACACCTAAAAGCTTTAATAATAACATGGCAAATACTCCAGTACGATCTTTACCTGCAGTACAGTGAACAATAAATGGTTGCGTTTGATGTTCTAATATATGTTTAAATATTTCATAATATGCCATTTTTCCTTCTTCTAAAATTGTCATATAAGCTATCATATATAGAAATTAATTTTTTAAAAAAAGATAAAAATAATAATAAAAATTAAGTTTAAATAAAAAAATAGAAAATGTGAATTTGAATTTAGGGAAACTAATAAAATACCTTGACTATACCCTTCTACGCCATTAAGATATAAATTCCACCTTTCAAATAATTTTTCGGGGGAATAATCTTCCTCTTTGAATACTGGGACATGTACTCGGATTATCCCTTCAATATATCTTTATAAACCAAACAAATATATGAAAGAAATAAATGGGATTGATATATATTGATATAGATATATATAACGCTATACTTACTTTATTCCCATCTTATTAACTTCAGGATTTGATCTTAAATCAAAAATCTTTTGAATATTTAACTTTCGAAGTGTTGCAATGCCATGATTTGTAATCGACGTTAAACTTTAAATTAATTAAAAAGAAATTAACAAGAAAAAAGGGACCGAACAAAAGGTTTAATTCTGTCAACTTACTTCCCACAACGGAAAACAAATCTTTCACGAACAAATTGTTGAATTCGATTATTCTGTTCTCCTAAATTACATTCATATCCACCCAAATCTCTAAAGTTTTTCACACCAACAACAAAAATATATCTTGGAATACGATATAAATATTTGTCATTAAATTTCATATATTGAAAATCATCTGAAAAATATTTCTTGATCGTTATAATAAGCGTCTCGTGCTGATGATTATAATTATGGTCTGCTCTAGGTATAAGTTTTAAAATATGATTTGGTATTAAATTTGCGTAATATGCTGCATCTTTAACTGGAACTATCTATTGATTTTAAAAAAGAATATTTATTATTATTAATAAATTAAAAGAAAATAGACAAAGAATTTATTCTACCTCATCTGCAATTCCATGACATGTTAAAACAGAAGTAGTTTCCGGCATATTAGAAACTTTAGAAAAAAAAATGGTTATTTTCTATTAAATCAACTTTTTTTTAAAGGGAGACATAATTTAAATACGCGTACCAAAAGACATGTCAAAATAAAATTCCTCTAATGTAACTTTTGTTATAACTCCTCTGATTTTATCCTCCCAATAAAAATATCCCTGCTCCATCAATAAATCTACTGTAGATTTTTCCAATTTCGATAAAATTGCTGGAAAATAAAAACGAGCTGATATATTGATTATATGTGGAATACTACGGTTAACATAACAAGCATATAATAAAATGGAAATAGATCCTAGAAAAAAAAACATTTTTTTTTAAAAAAAATTAATAATTTAAAATAAAGCTACTTTTATTTTATTTTTTTTTAATAAAAAAAAATTACCTTTGGAATGACCAATCGCTGCGTATAATTTATATCCAAATTCACTTTCAAGATATTTTACAACTGTATCAATATCTTCAACACCCTCCTTATACATAAATAATATAGATTAAATTTTGTTTGTTTTTTTTTTTTTTTATATATATATTATTTACCTGGAATTTAAAAGGGTTTGTTATACCATCACTCTTTCCACTTCCTCTAAAATCGAATCGAAAATTATCAAAAGGTAATTCTTTAGATAATTTTTCTTGAAATAAATAATCCTTATGTCCTATAATACAAGGTAACTAAATGTTTAAGAGTACCGATACCACCAAAAATAATGTCTATATGCTAGCATTTACCAGTAAACCCGTGACAAATAACTCCAAGTTTCGTTCCAAAAGTATCATTCGATGATTTTCTTTCTAGAATTCCAACGATATTTTGCCCCAAGTTATTTTTAATATTTAATTGAATTGTTAGTTGATTATCTAATATCCCCATATTATGAATTTTTTTTCAGCAGTACTTTTTTTTTAAGAGAAAGGAAAATCACAACAAAGTTAACCATTTAATTCAAATTTACCAGATTACATTGTACTACCATTTACAATCGATGTATGTTAATGCACTAGAATTACTTAAAATTTGTGAAACATTTGAAAACGTTTCCAGTAAAATCAAGTCATGAGATATATTGAAAAGAATTACATAATATTAACATTTGAGAACAAAAACCACCATTTCAATTCCAAGTCATAATAACGTTTGTGATAAAAAAGACGGTTAAGTAAAAAAAATTATGTTCGAGGTAAAATTGTTCCCATGTATTTAAATTCCACTCTGTAAATGGCCTATTCCAGTAATCAACGTAATGAACTTCACGTATCACTTGTTCTGATAACATGAACAAAAATAATATCAAGTTTTTAGAAATGAGTATCACTGAAACTTGGGTATAAGAGGAGGAATGAATAATATGCAAAGTAATGTTATTTTAGTGGGATTAGAATTCAAAGGGATAAGCAATGAATTAACCGATTTAGCCAATTTTGACGATAGAATAACTAAAATTGATATGCAAAGCTTTCATTCTCTCCTAGAATTTTACCCTAGATGTACATTTTTCTATGTTCCAAGCATTTTGAGACTGTCCCACACTGTCCCAATGTCCCAGACCATGTCCCAACATTATGACAACTATGACAACACTGCTTATGGGGATTTCTTATAGCAATTTTGACGCATTGTGATAAAGCCCATCTTTGGATAATCGCAATAAAGTTTCATCTACTGGTTTATGAAAACAGAGGGGTTATTACTAAATAAAATCAAAAAGATGGGAAAGAGAAAAAACAAACTAATCAGTACAAAAACATTACCTGCGAGCGCACAATTCTAAAGGTAATGTGGGTGGAGGTGATGAGTGGTGTACAGTGATGTGTATTATTATCACGTGACATTTGTGTGAAGCGTACTCAAGTTACATATACCACTTCCAGCCCACATTATTATAATTTTGGCCGGTAAATCTTATTCATCACTTGAGTAAATGTCACTTGAGGTGATGCACACCACTCATCATCTTCACGGGACTTCAGACTCGTCAAATGACCCAGGTCGATTCGATTGGCTCGTAGCATTAATTTTGACATTACTGAATTTGAACTTTCTCTTGACAAAAAATCGAATGTAATTTACTGACACTCTTTTTGATCTATAGTGAAACCTAAATATCTACTTTTAAGTTTTCACGTTTCATATATCATAGTTATACAGTTCACGGTAAACAACATTTTTTACATGAAACTACAATTAAAGTTGCTTCGTACAAATATGCTCTAATTGTTATTTATCCGATAATTAAGTACTAGATCACATGTAAAATTTTAGTATACTAATTTATTAAAATATTTGAGTAAAAGAATTGAATCTTTATAATACATATGTACTATATTTCATTAATAAAAAATATATAAGGTTTATTTCTTTTATTTTATTTCGTTTACAAATAGAAAACGAGTTGTTTTACATATGGGGCCTTTGCAATAGAAAGGGGGGAAACTGCCGGAAAAATCAAAAATGAGTTAATGCTAAATTTGAACATATTTCAGCCTAAAAATCATATTTGGCATATAAAAGTAAAATTAACTTTTCCCGGCAGTTTCCCCCCTTTCTATTGCAAAGACCCCATATGTTTAGTTTATAAAGCTCTTCCCAAAACTAATTTAACTAATTTTAGAAATGGTAGAATTAATCCGGTTGGTCCATTTTAAGAACATACCATTTTATTTACTTTACAATAGTTTTATTTATTATTTATTTTTTTACATATTGCCGGCTATGGCTTAGATTATCTATAAATATAGCCACTGGAAATTTTTAAGTGTCGTACATCAAGATCAAATTTACGTCATCATTAATCATTAAAACAGTAGAAAATGATTTACGTCCTATAAACAAGCAAGCTCGAGGCTAGGCTGAAAAAAGATCATCACTTTGCCTCTTTAATCAGATATATATATATATATATGGTATAAAATGCAATTCTTTAAATCCATACAAGCCATCACAATGTCACAACAAAAACGACTCTTCTCTAAAAGATCCTCGATGGATAAAATCGAATTGATATTTTCAAAAAATCATGTATTTCAAACAACAAAATCCAAAATACTATCAAAAGATAATGATGGAAAAACGTTAACAAAATTTATTGAAGATACATTACACTACATCAATGTATTTCATTATCCTTATAAAATGTTTTTTAAAGGTGGTAAAGAAGTTTGTTATTTGATACGTTCCGATGAATGT